TTTATATTAATAAAATTTATATTTATATTTTTTTATTTGTTTTTTAAAATTATATAAATAGTAAATATTTTAGTTTTATTTTAGAAACATATTTTGTTTATTTAAAGACATCTTATATTCAACAAATAAAGTTATAGTAAATACATAAAATTGATATAAAAAATAACATTCACACAGTTTGTTGAATCAATTAAAATAAATTTATATGTTTTAAAAAAATAAATTTAAACTTACTGCAATATATATATATATATATATATATATATAATGATAATATTAATAAATATTAAATTAAAAAAAATAATTACAAAAAATAACACTTATAAAATTTATTGAATCATCTAAAAAAATTATTATATTTTAAAAAGTAAATAAATATCGTCATTATAAAAATTGTAGATGATAAATACTTATATTATAAAATTTATAGATGCAGAAAAATAACATATGAGCATAGGAAGATTTATTAAAATTTATATTTAAATTAAAATAAATTATATTTTTAAATTTTTATCTTAATTAAAAAATATGTGATAAAACTTAATATAAAAATTTAAACTTAATGTACTATATATATATATATATATATATATATATAAAATGAAAACAATAATAACTATTAAATTAAAAAATAATTACAAAATATTTAATTTTATTTGTCTCATTAATTTGTTATTTTAAATTAACAAATAAATGTAAAATTAACTATACTATAACATTAATGTAATATAGAAAATATTGCTGATACAATAAATTAAAACACATACTTATAAATTACATATAAATTGATAAATTGACTAATAATTTAATTAAAATATGTGCAAGTTATAAAAATATATATTATTATATAATTTATTTATAATTATATTATTTATATTATTTGCTACATGGTATATATATATATATATATATATTAATATATATTATAATAAGTTTTTTTATTTTATTTTGTTATCATTTGTTTTGTAAATTTTTACTTTCAAATAAAATATAATTCAGATTTAAGCAATCTTTATTTATTATAAATAAAAAAATTATAACATAGTATATTAATATAATAATTAAATAATTAAATTAATAATAATAAAATTAAGAGTATAAAAAATATGTTAAAATAAATTTATTATTTTATTTTTAAATTTTATTTCATTTAGTTTTGATTACGCCTTATTCCTGTTCAAAGACTTAACTATTTTTTAAATTGTTTAAATATAATAATTTATTATTAAATTAATTTATTATTTAAAAAGTGTAATCATGTATAAATATTTTTAATTTTTAATATAATATAATTTCTGTTTATTATAATTATAAATAAATAAAATTATAACATAATATATTAATTTAATAATAACAGAATTAAGAATATAAAAATATATTATTAAATAATTTTATTATTTAAATATATTTTGATAGCTCTATTTTTAAATTATAATATATATATATATATATATATATATATATATATATATATATACAGGTCGGCCTGTCAGGCTTAACAGGCTTTATAAACAGCTCAGACTTCGTTTGTTTACTTAAACAGGCTTTCAAAAAGGTCTGAGCTTGGTTTGTTTATTAAAAAGGCCAAGCCAGGCCAAGCCTAAACCAAGCCAAGCCACAGGCTCCTGTCAGGCAGCCTGGCTTGTTTTCATCTCTACTTGTATTAGGATCAACAATAAACCTTGGGGGTGGCAAAGAGAGGGATGATCCAATGGCACATAGTAGCTCATTGTGACTGGGCCACGTCGCTAGCAAACCCTTGTCCAACCTAACGTGAACACTCGTTATCAGGATCGCAGTAGGCCCATTCCTGAATGATACTCTTCAAGTGCGAAATTGCTTAAAACATTTTAAATGTGCTAGATGTGACAGTAGAGAATGGTTGTTCTTCGATCGCCTTAAGACCAGAAGTAATTTAAATAGGAAAGAAGGATATGGGATCCCTATGCATTGTATAAAGACTATTAAATGAAGAGAATTCCATAATTAATCTGCATCATACATTATTTATTCACATTATAAACAACCTTGTCATCTTTATCTCAATGCTATATATATACATATATATATATATATATATATATATATGTATATGTATAATGTATAAGTCCTATCTGTATAACTCTTGTATGATTTGATTGAACTATATGGATTCACCCTTTTGTTTTGTTGTTGTTTCTCCCTTTTTTGTGGTGTGTGGACGTTTGTTTGGTGTATTGCATGTGTGTGTGCAGATGGGATCCGAGATGGTCAAGATGACGATCCTCCCGACTGCGAACGACCTCTGGATATATGATGACACTACTGAGCAGACTATCTACCAAGGGTTCTCCCGCTTGACTCTTGGTTCATTATCTGAGGTGGGTTGGGAACCCTGCTGTACCACTGATATGCTTGTAGAGATTATTTTCCCTCTGCCACTGTATGCTACCTCTATACCCTTTCCTCTCATCATTCCTATGACCGTACCAGCCCCCATGGACCCTGATGTCCCTATTCCCGTACATGTTCCAGATGTGGCCCCTGATGCTCATACACCTCAACCATCCTTTCCTCCTCCTGTGGAGCCCAAGTGCATAGATATCTATGTCATTGAGTCCACCGTTCAACCTCATCCACCTACTCCACCCTGCAAACTTTCTCCCATCAACAAGACTGGTCCTTCACATTGTAGCCCCTCACCCCCTATGTCATCTCCATTCTCCCGTATATCCTCATTTACTTCTAGTTGGTTGGAAGACGTAGATGAAGACCTACCCAATTTGCCTTCTGACCCAGATGTTGCATTATCCACTTCACTAGACTCTGATCCTTCAGAGGAATACACTCTTGTGGACTGATATTGTTTTATATATGTGTATATGCGTTTTCTTTTGTATGATGGGGCTGTTTTGGGAAGGGACATGGGTATAGTAGTCCTTTTACTCTTTTTGCAAACTTACTTTAACGATGAGCCATAGGTGTTGTTAGTATTGTAGATGTTCATTTACTTCTTTGGTTATATTACTTGAATGACTATAAATGATTAATGAACTTATTTGAAAGGTGAAATGGTGACACCTTCAAGTATTTAAATCACATATAGTATTTTTAATTACTAATCGATTTTCTACCTTTATTGACTATTTAAATTATGTACTTGCGTGTATACATCTCGTATTTAAATATTATATTACGTGTATGCGTGCTTCATATATAAGATGAATATAGTACTTATATATATATGTATACAGAAATAATTGTATTAAAATTGGTTGTGCACGCTAACTACTATATACATCCATATGTGTGTGACATAATGGTTAAATACCATGTATTTAGATATATTCACTGTACTTAGTTCGTGAAGTTAGGACGTCAAAATTGACCTCAAGCAAGCTCCCACCTGCCACAGGAATTTGTTATTGTATAGTTCAAAAGGGAGATCAGGAATCCTATCCCAAACTACTATCTTTCTCAGTCTTAAATAGAAATCTCCACCTCTAAACAAAGAAGTAATGATCTAGATTAATAAGAGCCCTTCAAAAAAGGCATATTTGTAGTCCTTTATATTCTCAAACTTAACTAGGAAGAAATCATTATTGAGATCAAGAATTTTTAATGACCTATTCTTTTTCTAAATATTACTTAGTTTCTAATTAAGATAACTAAAGTTAATGGACTTACCTAGGAGTTTGACTATAAGGGTGAACTTCCAAGGGAAACACCATAACTCATAATCCTCTTGAAGGATTCTAAATTCATGACAAAGATTTTTACTTTAATGAGTTATTTCTTTATCATCTTTAGTTTCAGATGTAGTAGTCAAATCATCTAGCACAGATTGAACAATATCTTCATCATTCATAATAAGATATAAGTCTTTCGACTCTAACAATTTATCCTTATAAAAAAAAGTCTCAGAAACACAAGGTTTAGAAAACACCTAGTTTGACCTCAAATCTAAAGAGTTGTTCTTCTTGCATGTCCTGATTCAGCACCTTTAATTTGTCCCCATGACCCATCTTCACATTCTTCGTACTGCGATCCATTTGGTCTAACTCCTCTGTTGAACACTTCTTTACCTTGTGTCGATCCATCCCTTGAAAGTCCCCTTTAGGTTGAGAGCTGAGAGTAAGAAACTCTCAGTCTTGGCGAACCTTGGCTACCCTCAAATTGTAATATCCCTTTAAGATCTCCCCAACAGCTATGGCAAGGAACTCTAATAGTGTTGGTCTTACCCCTCCTTTCTTAAAAGTAAAGAAAGTTTCTTGGAGTTATGAGGAAACCCAATCTAAGAACTTATTTTTTTTTATTATTAACACTAATTTTATCGTTACTAGTTATAATTTTTCTATTAAATATATGTTAATAAATTTTAAGATATTTTTAAACACATTTTAACGAATAAAATCAAATAATAAACGTATGTATTTCAAATGAGAAATAAAAAAAAATACTTAAAATCTCAACTAATTAATGCTTATTAATGTAGATGGTTAGGCTCTTTTATAAAAGTAAAAAGTCAATTTAAAAAATATCAAACGCATGTTCAGTATAATTTTATCACCTTTCTCTACATATATTTGAAACTATTATTAGTTTCATAAGAGAAGTATTAGATCAATTCAATTTAATAACAAAGTTAAAATATTACTTAAGTCATTATTTATTTTTTGAGATATAATATATCTTTATTTATGTGTTTATATAAAAGTTTAAAATAATGTTAATTGCTATGTTTTTATTAGTATTTTTTTATATTAAATTTTTAACTTGTGTAATAAATAAAGTATTTATACTAATTAAGTAAAATAAAAAAAAAACTCACTAATATATAATATATTTACAGAATTTACTAATATAATAACAATTAAAAAAATTACTAAATGACAATATTAATCAAAGAATAAAAAATAAAAATATTTGATTAAAAATATTCAAATTATATTTACTTTTATAAATTTTAATTTAACTTAACCTAATTTTATTTATATGAAAAATCACAGAGAAACCAAAAATTGGCGGCGGTGCAAGAAGGCAGTTGGAGTTGGTGCCAACAGGGAACACGAGTCCCTAACTCCGGCGCAAATGATAAAGAAGCCTCAGGGCCAATATCACAAACACCTGGCGAACCAAGCAGTTGTCTTCGTAATCAAAGACCTTCCATTCGATCTCAATGGCCACACAAAACCCTCATCTCCCCCATGGACCACCGAAGCCGTCACGCACGTCCTCCGATTCATCTCCCGTTACACCCTTCAATCTCCTCGCTCCATGGGCCGCCAGAAGGCCTTCCGCCACCGCACCCCCTTGCGACAGCGCAACCTCAACGAAGAATACTGCAAGCTCAGCAACAACACCCTCGTTCTGGGCCCCGCGGCCCACAGAGACCCTCACAAGGCCCACCTCGGGCCCGACAAAGCCCTCGAGTTCTTCGATTGGGTTGAAATCCGTTTTGCCTTCGCCCACACCGAATACACGTGCCGCGAGATGGCCTGCGTGTTAGCCCGCGGCAACAAACTCAAAGCCCTCTGGGATTTCCTAAAACGCATGTCGTCGAAGGAAGAATGCGACACGCACCCGCTCGTGACCACTGCGACGATCACATGCTTGATAAAACTCCTCGGAGAGCAAGGCCTCGCTAATGAAGCATTGCTCACTTTTCACCGAATGAGACAGTTTCGTTGCAAACCCGATGTTCATTCTTACAACACGCTTATCCACGCGCTCTGCAGGGTTGGGAACTTCACCAAGGCTCGGTTCTTGCTCGAACAAATGGAGCTCCCCGGGTTCCGGTGCCCGCCCGACACCTTCACTTACACGATTCTTATAAGCTCCTATTGCCGGCACGGCATGCTCACTGGTTGCCGGAAGGCCACGCGCCGACGGTTATACGAAGCTGGTCGTCTGTTCCGGTTGATGCTTTTCAAAGGATTGGTTCCCGACGTTGTCACTTACAATGCTTTGATTGATGGTTGCTGTAAGACTTATCGCGTGGGGAGGGCGATGGAGTTGTTCGATGACATGAAGAGGAGGCGCGTGGTCCCCAACCGCGTTACTTACGATTCTTTCATTAGATGTTATAGTGCTATGAATGAGATTGATAAGGCTGTTGAGATGTTGAGGGAGATGGAGAGGTTGGGGCATGGAGTTCCTAGTTGTAGTTCTTACACGCCGATCATTCACGCGCTTTGTGAAGTTGGTAGAGTTGTTGATGCTTGGGGTTTTCTTGTTGAGTTGGTTGATGGTGGTTCTGTGCCTCGAGAGTATACGTATAGGTTGGTTTGTGACGCGCTTCGCGTGGCTGGTGAGGGCGGCTTATTGGATGATGAGGTGCACGAGAGAATAAAGAATGGTATATGGAATAGGTACAGGCAAGTGGAGAAAGTTAAACCAATTATGTATCGAAAGGGGTATCCTGAGATGAAGGAGCTAGTTTGAATTCATTTCTTATGCGAAGGGACTGTTTGTTGAGTCGAATTTGAATTTGAAGTTGAATTTGGGGTGCTGCTAGTGAGCTTAGTGAGATTTGGATTCTTCAGAGAAGCTGATTCAGCCATTCAACATTTTCCGCAACCTCTACACAGGCATTCTACATTTTATGACCCCCCAATGAACTGAATGTGACTAGCCTTTGAGATTCTCCATTGTGTGATAACCATTAGCCTTTCAGCGTTTGGGGAGGTGAGTCTTGACAAACTGAGTTTTCAGATTGCCCTGCTCTGCATAATTGGAAACTATACATAATATTTTCTGTATGCTTTATATCAACTCTGAAGGAAACTATTTGTCATATAAAGTGCTTAAAGGTTCCCCTGCCTGCACCTGTGGAAACTCACTGGTTGTTTCAACTATCAAATTTCCTCTATTGAAGTTATCATTGCTTTACTCTACATTGCACTTTTTGGGGTCATTCTTGGACATGACGATTATCCAAAGATAATCAGATGTAGTGCTTGTTATAGCTGATGAAAGTTCCATTAATTTGCTCTGCATATTTTCAACCCAAGGGACTACATCTATATTCTTACCAAAAGAAATTTCCAATGTAAAGACTAAGTGTTATCTCTTTTTTATTTGTCTACTTAGTACTAATTAATTAGACATTTTCACTCTTAAATAATGCTACTATTTTGCTTTGAGTAAACTCTTATTTTAGCCCCTCTAACTGTAAGTGTCGGTCATTTTATTCCCTAACTTTACAAAAGCCTCACTTTGATCCCTGCTTTTACAAAATTATGTTCAGTTTACTCATTTTTCATATAAAATGACAATAAAAATGAAGTGAAAAATGATTACAAAGAATGATTTTTCAATGCTTGACTGGATCTTTCAAAACTGTCCTATCTTTTAAAGTAATCAAATGTTTTGACTTTCCTATTAGTAAAAATATATCACATTATTTGTCTACATCGACAGTTTTCAACGTTATTCGACATAGTAATACTTATGTCATAGTCAATTTAAATGACTATCCAATGAAAGGGACAGAAACATAATTTAAAATTAATCTTAAGTGAAGCCTACACAATCACATAATCACCAATGCCTGCTCGCCAAATTCTCAGCATTGGAAAATGAAGGTTGTATCCACAGCTTAGATTCCCAAACCACAGATGCAGAGGAATAGGAAACTCTTACGAACTGATGTTGTCTTTAATACTGAGTATTCTTGTCATGGAGATGATCATAAATTTGAAGAACTATGAACTTGTGTACTCAAGTTCACATCATATGGTTTGATATAGGACTGAGGTCAAAACTCCAAATGAGGAGAGTGCCAGTTCTAAGAAGAGTAAGATATTTATCTTTAAAGAGCTTGCAACGATAACCAAATTTTTAGGGATGAAACCTTTATTGGGCAAGGTTGATTTGGAACTGTTTCCTAAGGAAAAAGATAGAGAAAATGAATCAGGTATAATTCGATGGTTGGATTTTTTCTTTTTTGTTGCTCTTCTTCTTTTACAATGCCAGCACGTTAGTTAAATTGTTGTGCAATATGATTCTTTTATCCATAGAGGTTTGGAATATTTTATCAGGTTGTAGCTGTTACAAGACCTTATACTAATGGTGTCAAAGGGGAGAAAAAATTTTCAGTTGTGGTTCCCATGGTCTAACCAATTCCAACCTTGTTAATGTGATCAACGACTGGGCTGAAAGGGATCAACATCTTCTTTGGTATGAATACATGGAATAATTTACTATAATGCAATGTTTAGTTTCTTTAACATTGAACTCTCATCACTTACTTACTGGTGGTAAAGGTCTCACCCTCTAGAAAATCAGATGAAATTTATGTAAAGGCTTAGGTTGTGTTTGGACAGGGCATTTCAATGTTACTACAATTTATATATTTGGATAGTAAGCAAAAAGTTTTAAAATACAACAGAATTTTTACTAAATAATTTTTTTGTAGAAAGAATTTCAAATGACTTGTTTTTAGAGAGAATTTCAAAATCTCTCTATTATGCTTAACTTTGTATTTATCATTCATAATTCTTCTCATACTTGACTCTCACTCTTAAGCATCCCTAATTGTTGCTTTCATATTTTCTAGAATTTTAAAAATTCTCCATCCAAACACAACCTTAATTTACCCGAATGGAAATAAGTGGACAGAAATAGAAAGAAGTGAAAATAAGTGGTTTTTTGAGTTTAGATTGAGAGGGAAAAAAAAGAAAGAGAAGTAAAATTTTCTTGCTAATTTAGATTGATAGAAAGGTGAAAAGAAAGAAAATGAGAATGATATAAGATTAACTTTTTATCCTTATTTTATATATTCACTTTCGTTGTTTCTTTAATTTTCTTTGCACTTGAGCCAAGAAAGTTTTCATGGGGTCTGTGTACATTTTATTCCAACACTTAGTTTTCTATCATCATAATCATTCTGTTTTTCTTAGTTTTCCACCAAACCAAACGAAGCAGAAAGCATGAAATAATGTACACTTCATGAAGTTAAGAGAAGTTAATTCTAAAGGAGCTGCAGACAATGATAGTTCCCCGACCAAAATTCACTACTAAATTTTGATTTAGCACCGTTGCATGTCTTTAATAGGGGTCCTGTTTGGTGGCAGATTTTAATGCTTTATAACTTTAATGTAATTCCTACTGTGACTTCTCTATTCTGTATATGCTTCTGTATTCACCAAAAATACATCTAGACCTTATCTCTATCATAGCGCCATCTCCTTTGCTCCAATGCAATTGATATTTTCTACACCTTCATTTTTTACAATACTGAGGACAACATTGATTACATGGCAGGATGCAAATGTTGTCCCATATCTGTCGATTTATTATATTGTAGAAGTGACAATTTGATCATTGATTATTTGCAGATATTTCATCTGATAAAGAACCACGTGATTGGAATACCAGAATGATAATAGCTGTTGGTGCAGCAAAAGGACTAAATTATCTGTACCGTTGTGCTAAAGCCTGTGTTATACAGGATCTATAGCATTCAATATATTACTTGATAGGAGTGGACGTGGGTTTGGACCATAAGGAAAGGCTCAAGGTATGGAGAGTGTATGTTAGGAGAGACCGGGTGAAGGGTAGAGAAGATGAGGTGGTAGGAGTTGTAACAAAATTGTCAAACAGTGGGGAATGAAGATTTGGTGTATATAGGGAATGAGTAGGAGAGAGAGAGGAGGCTGGTTTTTTACGGGAAAATTCTGTTATGGGCAGAGGGCTGTAGCCTCTCTGAAGGAGCAGTGGGGTTGTTTTTCCTTCTGTATTGCTTTCTTCTACATCAAATAATACAATCATTCCCAGATTTTTCAATCTATTCTGCAGTCTATTTTTTGGTCCCTAACATTACTGAATGAAGGTTTCCATACAAAATTTTCTGATTTTGGACTGGCAAAATTTGATCCAACTGGAGACCAATCGTCAGATGGTGCCACCAGGATCATAGGAACATGGTTACTGTGGTGCTACTAGTGGAAAATTAACCATGAGATTTGGCGTTTACAAATAGCGTTGTCTTATTGGAGCTAATTACCGGATATAGAACATATGAACCCGTGGCCCTGAAAAGCGTCTTGTTTGTTACCCATATTATCATAACTTTTTTTATTACTCTAGGCATATCAGATCAGATTTGCTGGCGGTGGAGAATAGAATCTTTTGACCACCGGTCGTCAAGGAGATGCAAACCGTTGCTATAATCTTTGTTTTAATGAAGGGGTGATATTGAAGAAGGGTTACCTGATGGGTCTTGTTTAAATTTTACTATTTTAAAATTTCATCTATGAGTCCCTTAAATGAAATGAAAGTTGTCTGGGCAATCTGGCTCATACGTAGAGCAAACACTTTGTAGTGCGAGTTCTAAAACAAAATTATATTATTCTACATGAAAACATTAGTTGTGCTATTGAGATACTCTTTCTATCGTCTTTTCTATGGGACATTTTGTTAACATATGTGCTCCAACGTGAACAATGTAAAATTCTTATCCAACACAAATCTTGAAAAAAGAGTTTTTCATTTACTGCTGCGCTCTAGAATGGCAACAACCTCATACATGGTCCACCAATTCTTTAACGAATTGGAACACGAAGAACATCATGGCCACGGAAACAATAGCCGATTCACGGCCCTCCTTCTGCTTCTTTTCTCATTTTTAATTAATATTTTGCACTTGAAATTGGAAGAAGCTGAATTATGAAATATGAAGCATTTTCTTATTAATTAGCTGTTGTTGATATATGAATTTGCAGGCATGTTGATAGTGTGGAAAGGAATGATTAGATAATAGCCTTTGTAATTAGCCAATATGATTAACTGACTACGTAGTATCCACTATCCAGGGAATATTATAGCATTTCTTGTTCTGTTAGCCTGATCTAACGCATGTTTACTTGACACAATCTTTTTACTTGATATCTAGTTGGGATAAATGTTATCTGATGTCAATATTTTGAAGAAATAATCTAAAATCATCACTCTTCAAGAAATCATAATTTGAGAGAACATAATGGTTCAGTTGGCTATGCACATCTTTCATAGACAAGTTGCATGCCTGCAGCTTGATTAATATAGTCAAAATTGCTATTCCTACTGCAAGATTAACTGAGCTTGGTTTCCTAATAAACATAGGGACAACCAATGTTTGGTGACCGAAGGAATTTTCAAGATTGGCAGATCCATGGTTGCAAGGTAGCCAAGTAAAATGGGTTGACAGCTATTTTTAAAAGTGCAGTCCAAGACCAGAGGCTGCTATATACGTGCTTTGAGCCGAATTTTCAGGAGTTACGGTTGTAGCATTAAAAGGCGAAAAATTATTAATACCTCTTTGTGCTAACATACTAAATATTGCTGGAACCAAGCACATTTAAGTTCAGTTGTTCTATTAAAATTTATTGAGCAAGTTTTTCACGGTTTCATCCATGTGCTGAATCATGTAATGAATGGACAACTAATGCCATCCATTAGTATCTAGTATATATAGTATAACAGACATCAATTACCTGATAATGGAGGGGCACGTTAGTATGTTGGATGTCATGAACTCCTAATGAAATTCCAATCGCAAAACCAAGTCCAAAGTGACTGATGTCAATTTAGCGGTTAGTAAAATGGCAGATGACAGCACTTACAGATCCTACACAGTAGTGACAAAAACCCACCAAGTGTCAAATAATGAATCTTGACATACATAAGCATTGAAGTTCAAACATACAATGCCGTGCTACCATAATTTTTATTAGGATCTAAGACAAGTAGCTTATTCTTCCCTACAAAATAGTCACAAATCACCAGCGAGAGCGAAAAAAATTTGGACCATTTCTCGATTTGTGCGTGTCATCCTTGCGCAGGGGCCATGCTAATCTTCTCTGTATCGTTCCAATTTTATCAGATGTCCCCGAAGGGACAAGCTAACACGTACCCATGTGTTATATAAAGAGGCGAGATAACAGTAAATTAAATGATGTGGGACTTCAAAGAGAACAGTTATATAAATAACTCAAGTGTAATACACAGCCGACACTATAGGCAGATAACATACATCTCCTCTCCGCTATACGAAAACAAGAACAATTTCTTTCCTTCCTTCTCAAAGCGTAGCAACTGTAACTGAGTTTTTTTTTAATATTAGATTTTTGGTAAATAGGTGCTGCACATAGAACTAAGCACCTAAATGTGTAGCCTTATTGACCTCATTACTGAATCTGATCTACTCTTCTAGCGTTTGACTAGTGATGACAATGATTAAAGTAATATGAATACGGCAAAATTTATTTACAATAGATAAAATACTTACCCGTTATATGAATATGGATATAAATATAGGTAAATATTCGTAATTTTTAATAGAAATAGGTGCGGGTATAGGTATCTATGTTCTGCCCAATACCCGCATACATACATATATATATATATATATATATATATATATTTATATTATTATATTATTTATGTGAAGTTATATAAGATTAATGTAAAAATATATTTAATAATAAAGTAAACTAAAAATTTTATTTTGTTTTATATTTTTAATAAAAAATTTATTTACTATTTTATAAAGATTAATTAGGCTAATACAATTTAATTATTATACAATTGATATGAAATTGACTTTTTTAAAAAAATATTATTTTTATATGACACATGTAAAATATTTTTCACGCAAATATTTTTGTTAATAAAATTATATTAATATTTAAAATATAAAGTGAATGATAAATAATAAATATTTTATAAATTTTACAATTACCTACTATTACCGTAAACTTATTATTTATTGATAATATTTAAATTTTATTTTTTATATTTTAATTTAAAATAATATTTTTCTATGCAACATGTGTATTACAAGCACAATTATAATATACTGAATCTAAATAATATTATTCTTACTATTTATTTATGTTCATAGAAGTTTTTGAAAAGATATAAAATATAAAAAAAATATTATTAATTCTTATTTGTTAATTTTTTCTTTGGATAAAAAAGTATAATTTTTTTGATATACACGTTTATTTCTTTATTATAAAATTTTATTGTAACCATTTATCTTTTATTCAAATTCTTTTTTTTTAATTTATATACATTATAAATATCTAATTTATTAAAATAAATTTTCAAAAGTTTATATTTTTAACAAAATACTTTTATATAATACATAAGTTAAAAATACTACTATTAATATATATATATATATATATATTATTTTAATTAAATCCGTTATTTTTTTTACAATTTTAGATTCAAAAGTTAAAAAATATATTTTATGTATCTACTTTTCATTATCGTTTAGTACTTGAACTTCTTTACCCTAACTGTATTCTTATTTTTAATATCTGCTTCATTAAAATCTAGCAACTATATAAGAGTATGCAAAAAATCTAAATTTAATGATGTAATCTATAACTAAAACAAATTAGATTTAAAAATCTAATTTTTTTTTTTAAAATTTAGACATCTAATCCAATTTTTTTTTGAGTTGAGATAAATTTATAACCGGTTTCCCTATTTTTAGCGGTAGCTCCCTCCAGCACTCTTATGGAAGCCTGTGCCCAAACATTCGCTTTTAATTTTCAGCAGTAGATCGCTCCATGGTCCCTATATAAGTTTAGTTTTATGCGCCAAATATACACTTCACTTTGTTTCTTGCAGTGTCAATATATATATTATTTTTTATTAAATATATTTTAAAAATTATATTTCTAATTATTTTATGATAAGTAAATTTTATATCTTATAATAATATTTTTAATATATTAATTTATATTAAATAAAATAAAAATATAGAATATTATGAATATATATATATATATATATATATATATCTTACTATGCTAAGAAAATATATTATTAAAATTAGTTTTAAACTTGATTTAAATTTTAAAATCAGTTTTAATCTAAATTTTAAAAAATAATATAGATTGGTTTAAAATCTAATTTATATAATTAGATTTAAAATAGATTTAGATTGAATTTATACAAATCTAATTCATTCTCACCCTTACAATTATGAAACGTTATTCTTTAGAGTTAGTTGTCAATGTTGTCACTAAGTGATCCACATGAAAGGTCACTTATTATGCAGATCTATTTCGTTGTCGATCAATCGAATCTCATACAAGATAGAGTCATCATGGATAAATAACTTGTATATTTAGTTTCGGTTACTGTTTCTAATAATTTTAGTTTAAAAAATTATTGTATCAAGATACATTTAACACTTGTGATCTTTAAATTTTTTTATCTATATTTGTACCTTGTTCGATAATTATTGTATTAAGATAAGTATGCGGTACAGGTACAGAAATTAATGTTCATAACCACGCTGGTATAAGGCTGAGTACGAGTATTTTTTTTAAACGCAGGCATGGGGATAGGTACTATAGTACCCTACTCATTGACATCCCTACCTTTGACACATATTATTTCATATCATTTATTTTATTTTTATTAATCACTTTTAATTAAATTATATAAATAATTAAAGTTAATATTTCAATTTAATAAATATAATAATTATACGTAATTTAGATTTTCATCAGCTTTATTTATAAAAAATATATTAAAAAAGTTTATAAAAATATAAAATGCTTTATAAAAAATTACTAAAATATTTCAAAAATTATCTTGTAAAAAACATTACAGGGAGTATATTTTTTTCTACTACTCTCAATTTGTTTTAGCTGTTATTTCAACTTTTCAATGAGAGAGAATTTTTTTTAAAATTAAAAATTTTGAAAATTTTCATTTCTTATATTTTTATCTTCATTCTAATTAATTAAATATTAATAATGCTTTCTTACGTTCTTTCGTCTAA